CGTGGCTGACTCTTAACTTTTATAAAGAATATCTCTTTGGATTTGAGACTTTAGTCTTTGCAACTTTACAGATCTTCTTTATGCACCAAAAGCTTGTAATACTGCAAAGAGAAAGGAACAATTGAAATCTCATCATATGACCTCTTTAAATTGATCAAAAGTGACAGTAAAGACATTTCTAATGTTACAAAAAAATTATTTCTCACACAAATGCTGTTCTTTTGAACTTTCTATTCATCTGTGAATCCTGAACAATAAAATGTACCACGTTTTCCACAAAAATATTGAGCAGCACAACCGTTTTCAATTCAACAAATCAGCATATTATACTGATTTCTGAAGATCATGTGACACTGAAGACTGGAGTAATGATGCTGAAAATACAGCTGTGCATCACAGAAATACATTACAGTTTAACACATATTCACATAGAAATATTTTTAATTGCAATCATATTTCACATTTTCCACTTTTTTTTTTTTTAAATGCAGCCCTGGTGAGCAGAAGAGACTTGCGTTAAACATTAAAAATGTTACTTATTCCAAATTTACAGTAGTGTATTTACAGCTCTTATTTTTACTTATTCGATCGGACTGCAAAAAGTTTAATTGTTTAAAATAGCATGAAGGAAAAATAACCTCTCAATTTCCAAAAGATAATGGACATGTAGAAACATTTATCAATGCATATTATTAGATATTATATTCTCCACACAGTCTAGTGTTTTTAAACATAGTGAACTAGTATTATCTGAATAGTTGGATAATATTTTGATGAACTTTGGGTTGCTTTAAAAGCATCTTTAGACTAACATGATGCATTCACATTTAATGCAATAAGTGATAAACATGGTTATTAAAACGAATCATGGTTGATATGACTTTTATTTCATTTATCGACCTGGAAAGATAAGATCAAGCCGATTGCATTGCATTATGGGATGCATTATTTAATGCACGCAGAATATTTGCATGCTATGCACACTGTGCATGCAGAACGTGAAGTACTGAGGAGGGTTGTGTGAATGCTTTCTGTAGTGAACTGCAGATTGAATTAAATGCAGTCGTTTATAAATTGAGTTGAAATTGAAATCAGCTCTGGTCAAACGCATTAGCTGTTGACGCTGACGGCTGTGCTTCAAATGTCAGTGTCAATGCACTACTGTTTTCACATGTAAACCACAATCACCACTCCCATGTGCATAAAGGGAAGCGTGAGGCGAGTTTCTCACAGGCGTGACCTTTACAGATCACGCTTCAGTATCAGGACCAGACCAGTGAAGAAAACAAACACTGTCCTGTTTGCATCTAACGACTCTAATGATCCGCGTTAAATATAGCTGTGAATGAGGGCTGAAAAAGCATCAGAAGTGGCTAAAAACGTAATCGCAAATATTGATGCATCCCAGACAACACTACTCATCCGTCAGTCTCTGTGCTGAAATAAAACCATCGCCGGGCATGTGCAGCTTTAAAGGAAACCATGTGATCTAAACGTTCAGAGGAGCCCAAAATATACTGTATGTTTGTCTGACGTCAATACAGGAAAAACCCTGCAGCTGCAACATCGCTTTAACCCTGTAAAGCCTGACATATCAAATAATACTCAGATTTTTAAAACAGAAAATATTACAAAATCTAAAAACGAATCATATTTGACACGTTTATGGCTCATATAGTCTGATACAGTGAGAATGTGGAGGCAGAAAAGCTCAGTTTTATTCAGAGACTCAAACTAAGCAAAAATATGAATTTGGTGCAGATGCTGATATTTCTATGCTGAAATTCTGCTGCTGCTTGTAAATCAATGAGATCTTTATATCAGATACTGACATAAAATGATCTAAATATCAGCCGTCGCTCTATATCTGCAGTAATCTGTCTCAGTGAGATGAGAGTGAAATGCTCCAAACATATAATGCAGTGATTGAGAGCTGAAGAAATAAAGGCTCCTCCTCAGAAGATGTGAGATGTTCTGGAGGCTTGTGAAGATCATTCCTCCGCTGAGGAACAGTGAAAGTAAAGCTTCTGGAAACAAACGCTCCTCAAAAGATCCTGAGGATCAGATTTGAGACTCTAAAACATGATTGATGGAGAATCAAGTAAAGCTGAGCTGCTTCAGTGCAGTAAGTGTTCATCTGGAGATATTACAGACGTTATTCTGACGCTTAGATCAAGATCTGACAGCAGAAAGACACGAGAAGCGCTTCTACAATTACACTAAAAGAGCTTTTACTGGATAAAAACTCTAAACTATCAATCAGAAACGGAAGACATGAGGGGATTGTGTGTTACAGCAAAGCTTGATCATTTAGAGGCCTTCAAAATTTTTCCTTCCAGTGAGTAGATGTCAGTGTTGCATTAACTCTTCTCTCCGTGGCTGCAGATGTTCCTCCGGCCGAGCAGGAGAAGTTATTCCTGCAGAAGCTGCGTCAGTGCTGCGTGCTATTCGACTTCGTCTCCGACCCGTTGAGCGACCTGAAGTGGAAGGAGGTGAAGCGGGCGGCGCTCAGCGAGATGGTGGAGTACATCACTCACAACAGGAGCGTCATCACCGAGCCCATCTATCCTGAGGTGGTGCATGTGGTGAGTACATGCAAACGCCATATATGTGTCCCTGCAGCACAAAAGCAGTGTTAAGTCGCTGGGGGATATTTGTAGCAATAGCCAACAATACATTGTATGGGTCAAAATTATAAATTTTTATTTTTAATGCAAAAATCATTAGGATATTAAGAAAAGATCATGTTCCATGAAGATATTTTGTAAATCTTCTACTGTAAATATATCAAAATTTAATTTTTGATTAGTGACATGCATTGCTAAGTTGTATCTCATTGTCCTCTCCTAACAAACCATACATCAATGGAAAGATTATTTATTCAGCTTTTTTAGATGACGCATAAACGCATAAATCGAAAAATTGACCCTTATGACTGTTTTTTTTTGGTCCAGGGTCACATTTAGGGTTTGAGACAGCTTGGTTCCTAGAGTGCTTAAAGAAACAGTTCTGCCAAAAATGAATGAATGTGTTCACCCTCAGGTCATCTGAGATTAGGAGGAGTTTGTTTCTTCATCAGGTTTGGAGAAATGCAGCATTGCATCAGTGTCTCAGCAACGGATGCTCTGCAGTGAATGGGTGCCGTCAGAATGAGAGTCCAAACAGCTGATAAAAACATCACAATAATCCACAGCACTCCAGTCCATCAGTGAACATCTGGAGAAGACAAAAGCTGAAACTAATCCAGCATTAAGATGCTTTTAATTAAAATACATAGAGTTCATAATCCATAATAACGCTTCCTCCAGTGAGTCAGTGTTCTGGTGTGAATCAGGAGAGAAATCTGCACAGATCAAGCAGCGTTTAAACAGCTCTAAACACATGTGTGTCTGATTCTGATGTGAGAGACAACAGCAGATGCACTTTTTCACTGGATGAAGCGTTATTATGGATTATGAACTCATATTTTAGTTAAAAACGTCGTAATGCTGGATTTGTT